AGTCTTTAAAGAATGGCTCAGAACAGGTATGACAAACTGTTAGGCACAAAACTTCTGATAAACAAGTGCTCTGGTAACAGCAGACACAGGGCACTGGAGAGAAATCTCACCGGAAGGCTGCCCTCTGGGAGTCTCCAAGAGCAGGCAGAAACGAGCTCTCTGCAGGAGGACGGGAGAGCGCTACAAGCAGAGAACAGCAAGGGGAGAGGTTAGGCCAGGCTGGGGGGTCTCCTGGAACACCTGAAGGTTCGGGTAAAAAGTGGGAAAGCTAAAGAGGCCATGTGAAGTTAGAGGCCATATCAAGTACGGGAGACCTCAAGGAAAGGGTAGAGCTTATATAACAAGTAGCCACAAAAACAGACTTCATGCGGAAAGAGCAGCTGAACTGCCCTGTGGAGGGCCTCTACCTTCTCCAAGCTGTTGTGTGCACCGCGTACATGCAGGAGCCCTGGGTGCCTGCCTGTGAGGCCCCATGTGGGTGCTGAGAACCACACAAACTGAACCCAGGTGCTCTGCAGTCAGTGCTCCTAACCACTAAGCCATCTCCCCAATCCACAAATTCTCCTTAACATGCCGTTTTGCAAGACCGGTTTTCTGGCTGAGTCTAGGCTACTCTTCTAAAGGTTTCTGAACATCTCCATTTAGCTCTTTCATCTAAGAGTCAAGCTGACATGAAACACTTGACTGCATTAAAGCAAGAGTTTTTATTTAAAGCTTTTTAACTCTGGCTGTTCTTCCAAAGGTCCTGAGTTCAATTCCCAGCAACTACATGGTGACTCACAACCATCTATAGTGAGATCTGGTGCCCTCTTCTGGCGTGCAGGCACACATGCAGGCAGATGCTGGATGGATGGATGGATGGATGGATGGATAGATAGATAGATAGATAGATAGATAGATAGATAGATAGATAGATAGATAAAGGAAGCAAATGAACAAATAAGGCTTTCTACTCCTTGGGACAATTTTGAGCCCCAATGGAACAGACTGCCATCCAATGCCTTGTGTCATAGGGTAAGCATGCTACGTCTTTAGAGATCACTGTTTCTGTTGAGACAGAGTCTCACTCTATAGACCCTCTTAGACTGGACAACCCTACAAAGACCTGGCTGACTTTGCATTTACAGTAATCTTACCTCTACCTACCCAGTGCTGGGGTTACAGGACAGAACACAGAGAGGGCTTCCTGTACTCTCCAGCAACTAAGCCAAATCTCCAGCCCAACTTTCCTTTCTTTGTTCATAGGTGTTTTGCCTGCATGGACATCTGTTTGAGGGTGCCAGGTCCCCTGGAACCATAGTTACAACTGTGAGCTGCCATGTAGGTGCTGGGATTTGAACCCAGGTCCTCTGGAAGGGCAGCCAGTGCTCTTAATCACTGAGCCATCTCTCCAGTAACCTTTCTTTTAAAGAATGTACACCTTTAATCCCAGCACTCAGGAGGCAAAGGCAGGCAGATCTCTGAATCTGAGGCTGGTCTACAAAGTTCGAGGACAGCCAGTGCTATGCAGAGAAACCTTGTCGTGAAAAACGCAAACAAACAACAAAGAAAACAAAACAAAAAACAAATTCTCTCAATTTTTTTTCACCCATTCATTTATTTATTACTTAATTTAAAAAAGGCAGAGGCCAGGCCATGGTGACACCCATACTTAATCCCAGTGCTCAGGGAGGCAAGACAGGCTTATCTGAGTTCCCGTTCAGCCTGGTCTACAGACCAGTCCAGCACAGCCAAGGCTACACAAGAGAAACCCTGTCTTGAAAAACAAAAACAAAGGCAAAAAAAAACAACAACAAGCAGAACAAAGCCTAGTGGTTACAAACCACTAGGGAGGGAGCATCTCAAGGTCAAGCTGGGCTACATAGTGAAACTTTGTCTCAAATAATCAAAACAAAAAAAGGCGAGTGATCGGTGGCCTGGGATTAGACAACACTCTCCCCTCTCCTCAGCAGCCTGGAAGGATTGACAGTCTGTAAAATACACAGGCAACAACCAACCAGGACAAAACGCAAGCTCCTAAACCAGTGACAGTGTGGTCCAGCCCTGTGGATCCAGGCAGGTGGATCTCTGCCAAGTCAAGGCTAGCCTCTCTACTCTAGGACGTCCGGGATACATGGTGAGGAGAGAAATTCATACCAGAATTAGGCTATGGGGACGCCTTTTGCAGAAGCAAAAGGGCAAACTAAATCCAAAGAGAGTTTAAGTTGCGGTCTGAAAACCTCAAAGAGCACTCAGTGGCTCATCCCTAGAAATCACAAGGTAGCAGACTGCAAGCTGTGACCTTTACTCCCTACACACAGCAGCACCCCCCCCCCCCGCCTCCCCGCAGGGATCTTGAGCACTTAGTGCCATTGTCCTCACCCCAGGGTTACTTTTCAAAGCACTCTCAGAAATGCAAATAGTCCTAGAGCCAGGGTGTGGTGGCACTCACCCTACTCCTGAACTACGACCAGCTTTGGTCTACAGAGTGGGTTCCAGGACAGCCAGGGCTACACAGAGAAACCCTGTCTCAAAAATAAACAAAAAAGCAGGGCTTGGTAGTACAAGCCTTTTTCCAGCACTAGGAAGGCAGAAGCAGGTGGACCTTCGTGAGTTCGAGGCCAGCCTGATAGGGTTTCTCTGTGTAACGGGTCGTGACTATCCTGGATACCCTGGGATATCTCATGGGGGGGCGGGGGGGGGGGAGGTGGACGACAATAGGCATAAATAAAAATACCCAATGTGATCTGGGCATGGAGGTGCACACCTGTAATCCCAGCACTCAGGAGGCAGAGGCAAGCGGACCACTGTGAGTTCAAGGCCAGCCTGGTCTACAAGTCAAGTCCAGGACAGCCAAGGCTACAGAGAAACCCTGTCCCAAAACCAAAAAAATAGCCAATGTGAACCTGAAAAGATCCTCAGCTCATTAGTTGTCAGGTAAACGCAAATAAAAAGCATAAAAGGGACTGAGGGGACACCTGTGCAGCGTCCCTATCATCTGCAGATTCTGGTTCTACTCAGAGCAGGAGGCAATAAACAGACACAGCCATGGCTATGACAAGATGGGAGTGCCGGTCCGGAAACTCAGTATTATTTGCACTTGAGAGCCCTGGGTTACCTCTGGCACTAACAGAACAATCAATGGCACATGCCTATAGTGCCATGATTCTACTCTCATATGGAATAAGCACTTGCTAGCAGGACTGCAAATTCCAGGCAAGCATGTGCTACAAGGTAACACACACACACCAGCCTGGACCCTGTGTTAAAAAGTAAAAAAGGAGGGTTGGAGAGATGGCTCAGTGGTTAAGAGCACACCGCCCTTCCAGAGATCCTGAGTTCAATTCCCAGCAATAACACGAAGGTTCAAAACTATCTATAATGAGATCTGATGCTCTCTTCTGGTGTTGAGACAGAATACTGTATGCATAATAAATAACTTTTTAAAAAAGAAAATACATATATGGGGGCTAGAGAGAGAGCTCAGTAGTTAAAGGTTCGGTTGTCAGCACCTTTAACTCCAGTTCTAGGGGATCTTTAGTCCTCTTCTGGCCTCCATAGACACCAGGCACAGAGGTTGTACACACACACACACACACATACATGTGCACACCAGCAAAACAAAATACATTCACACGCATGCATATGCACACAGAAAAACAAAACACTCTTCCATTAGGAATAAAAATATTTTCCTAAAAATCTTAAATATGCCTGGCAGTGGTTGTGCAGGCATCCCAGCGCTTGTGAGGCAGAGGCAAGTGGAGCTGAGTTCCAAGACAGCCTTGGCCACAGAGAAACCCTGTCTTGAAAAAAAAAAATCTTTAAACATACAAAATAAAGCCCCAGCCCTACAAAAAGAAATAGAAAAAAATATATATATATATACTGTGTATTTTCAAAAAGGATTATTTACTTGTTCAAGTTTAGTTGTGTGTGTGTGTACGTGTGTGTGTACACACTAATGTTCGGGTGCCCAAGCTGTAGAGAAGACGGGTTTGCATACCCTGGAGTTGGAGTTATCACCTGATGTGAGTCCACAAAACAAACGGTACTGTGGAATAGGAAGGAGCCTGAGCCCTCTTAAACAATTAGGCATCTCTCCAGGCCCAGACTTAATTTTTGTTTTAATCCTTAGCACAGGGGAATTGAACCAAGGGTCTCAAGGATACAAAACAGCTAAACCTCCAGCACTGCAACTGTACACTTCAAATGAGTATCTCAGGGAAGATGCGTAAATTCCATCATTTACAGATTGGCGTTCATTCCAGAACTTGGAGAAGAAATTAGAACGATGCACCTGTTTACTTAGGTAAACTTTCTACCTTACACTAAATCTCAAATGAGGCAGCTCCGAGGTCAGGAACCAGGGCCTCCCTTTCTTCCAGATCTCCCTAAACACCCTCTGAAACTGAGCTCCTGAGCATGTCTAGGTCAATCAAGTGGAGTCAACCGCAGAACAAGGTGGAAAAGAGGAAACTACTCTATGCCTAAGGAGTAAACGTAAACGAAGAGGGGCCAAGAAAAGGTGAGGTCCAAGGGCCTAGCAGAAAGAAGCAGAACCTGCACAAAGTGTTACTCTGTAAAGTGGTGTGGAGTTTGGGTGACCAAAAGAAAAATACAGGTACAAGATCAAAGAGAGCCGGCCAATGGGAGTGGGGGGACGATGACGTAGGTTAACCAAAGGTTTTTCCAAAGCTGCTCTCTGCAAATCATCCTTAGGTGAGCAGCCCTTCTCAGCGCGCAAGGACAGAAGCTGTAACGTGATGAAGTTCGCTGCCGGCAAGTTCCCCTTTTACAAATGAAAAAGGCACAGCTGTGGCCAAGACCGAGCAACCCTCCAGCGTTTATTGAACCCTATCTCCAACCATCTCCACCGCCATCTTCTGGAAGAGAGCCCAGCAACCGCATCACTTCGGGGGCTGCGTAGCTCGGGTCGTGCAAACCGAGAGGCGATGCACTTGCACCGTGCACCGCCGTGGTCCGTCCCCGACCCCGCCTCGGCCACGCGAGGGCCTCACCTGCACACGCCTCGGATACAGGGCTCCAGCCAGATGCGGTAGGCGGTCTCGATGTGCTCCTGCGACACCTCCTCGGGCCGCACCGTCTCCGCCCAGCGCCAGGCCGCCTTCTCCAGCTGCAGCCGAGGAGCCATGGCCTTGACCGAAAAAGCGCTCGCCGTGCCGGGCGGCCGCCGGCGCCGCCTCCGTCTCCGCACGAACGGGCACCGGCACCTGCCAGCCGAAAGACCCAAGCGCTCCCCTCAGCCAGCCGACCAGTCAATCACCTGCGCGCGCCACAGCCGCCGCGCCCGCCCGCGCCCAGCATGCACGACCAAGCCGCAAAGCGCCGCCGCCGATACCCGACAGGCCCCGCGCCTGCGGACGTTGGAGGTGTACGCCCCGCCGCAGCCTGCGCAAGCGTGCTCCCAGCAGTCCCTGCGCCAAAAGCGCCTGTAATCCGACTGGCGGAAGAAAGCAGAGCGACTGCCCAAAGACGGCTTGCCACGTCTTTTCCGCCATGGCCAAGGCAGCTGCGCTTCAGCCCCTGCCCGCTGCTCGGACGAGCGGGCGCCTGTCCTTGCTTCCCCAAGCTTCCCCTTTAGCTGTCACACGAAAAAGTACTCTACGCACACCATAGGGCTGTCGGGACTGTGGGGTGGGACCTTTTGACAGTAGAAACCGGGTCAGCCAGAACTCCAAGGTCGGCTCCCTGGAGGATGATTAAACTTGAGCCTTGGCGGGTTCCTACTCCTTTCTCCGAGCCCTCTGACGTCACGGGGCGTTGTATGTTTTGCTGGTGCCAGAACGGGACTACATATCCCAGCGTACATTGCGTTCTGCCACTCGCGGAGTGCGGTGCATGCTGGGATTTGTAGTCTTAGAAGTGATAGGCTCAATCATTGAGTTGAAGGGTGTGTTGGTGCGCACGCGCAAGTGTGGGGCGTGCTCTCTGCTGTGGGCTGTCTGCTGTCTGTCTACACTTTGACCTCTTAGTTCTTTATGGAGGGTACACCCAAGCTCCCAGCTGCGAAACAATTTCCTTTTTGCAACGCCTCTTCCCCTTGGACCTATGGCCTTTACACAGTGTTTTGTAACTGAAAAGAGCACTTAATGAGAAGGCATTCCAGGACTTTAAATGTGGAAAAGCCCTGTGGGAATTTAAGCACTAAATTCCTCCCCTTGTGATTCCTCCCTGCCCCCCACCAAGTCCCCAGTAACCTTGAACTGAAGCTAATTTACTGTGATTTGATTTTGATTCCTGTGGTCGAGGTTGTGTTTGGGTTGAAAATAAAAAACATGGAGATCTCCTTCTCAGAGTGTAGTGGGTCCGAACTATAATATCTCGTTTGAGGTTGAAGCTAGGTGATGCCTACAGCACATAGAATGACCTTGTATATACACAGATACTCCTACATCTCTCCCCAGCGTTAGAGGGAGTAGCAGAACCTTGAGAAAAGACTTTCCTGAAGAACTCCCACACCACTAATTAACAATTGAATAAGGGCAGGTGATCTTTCCCGACAATCCAGGAGGCAGAGGCAGGCGGATCTGTGCCTGGTCTACATAGTGAGTCCAGGACAGCAAGAGGTACACAGAGAAACCCTGTCACAAAAAAGCAAAAAACAAAACAAACAAACACACAGAACAAACAAAAACGTTGGACAAAGTTGTTCTACTCTTTGAGTTAGAAGAGGCACCATTTCAGACTAATATCTCAGGGAGGCAGAAACAGGTGGATTTCTGTGAGTTTGAGGCCAGCCTGGTCTACAAAGTGAGTCCAGGATGGCCAAGGCTACACAGAGAAACCGGTCCCCCTCCAAAAAAAAAAAAAAAAAAAAAAAAAAAATCAAAACAAAACACAAAAAATGGGCTAGAGAGATGGGTTAATCTTGCAGAGAGGGCTGGAGAGATGGCCCAGAGGTGAAGAGCACTGACTGTTCTTCCAAAGGTCCTGAGTTCAATTTCCAGCAATCACATGGTGGCTCAAAACCATCTATAATGAGATCTGGTGCCCTCTTCTGGCATGCAGGCACGCATGCAGGAAGAATGGTATATAAATAAATAAATAGATAAATAAATAAATAACTCTTTAAAAAAAAAAAAGAGCTCTTGCAGAGGATGCAAGTTCAGCTCCCAAGAGCCAGGTCAGGTGGCCCCATGCCAGTGGCACTTGCACATGACCACAAGCAGATACACACAATTAAATAAAGTAAAAATTAAAAACCGATAAAGATGCCATCCAGAAAAAAAAAAAACAACAACAACCTCCCCCCAGTTAACATTTATTGTAACATTTGTTGAAGATTGAAGTATGTGTTCAAGGTCACACCTAGTTCTCAAGTTAAGTATATTTTGCTTAGCTGTCCTGGACTTTGTAAACCAGGCTGGCCTCAAACTCATAGAGATCTTCCTGCCTCTGCCTCCCAAGTGCTGGGATTAAAGGAGTGGTGGGTGCTCGACATACTTTATTTGTCTGTCTATCTATCTATCTATCTATCTATCTATCTATCTATCTATCTATCTATCTATTGAATGTATGAGTGCTCTATCTGCTTGTGTGCCTAGTGGCAGAAGAGGGCATCAAATTCCAGTATAGATGGTTTCAAGCCACCATGTAATTGCTGGGAACTGAACTCAGGACCTCTAGAAGAACAGACATTGCTCTTACCTGCTGGAGCCATCTCTCCAGCCCACCCACGATGTACTTTTAAGCCAACAAATCATATATAGAGTAAGGGGGCTCTGCCCACAGCAGAAGTAGGTAAAGGGCCCTTTTGTATCAGGAATAAAGACACATTGTAGCCCCGACTAGTTGTATTTGCCACTTGACCTGAAGCTGCACGTCCTCCTGCAGACAGAAAACCTCACTTCGTTGAAGTACCTCGGATTGTGGTCATTTTCTTTTTTCTTTTTCTTTAATTTCTTCTTTTTCTTCTTCTTCTTCTTCTTCTTCTTCTTCTTCTTCTTCTTCTTCTTCTTCTTCTTCTTCT